AATCCTGTTGTCGCTCGCCATTGACGGTCATTCCGAATCTCCTTGTAATTAGTCTTCATCATTTTTTTGGCAAAATTACAAAAAAATTACATATTGATAATCAATAACTTATGTGTCGCCAACTCTATTGACATCAAAGAGAAAACCGCGGTTAAAAATATACTTAAATTTCGTCCATTTGAAATCACTGTGATAATGGACAACTTATTTTCCAATTCAAGAAAAGCTAATTCTACAAAAATTCAACTTGAATGGAGGAAAGACAAGGACTTTATTATTTTAAATTTTAAAGATAACGGTTCAGGTATTCCAGATGAAATAAAAGATCGAATCTTCGATTTCAGATATAGTAATTCTGATGGTTCTGGTATCGGACTTTATCACGTAAAAGATTTATTGAGTAAGTATAAAGCATCAATAGAATTTGTTCAATCCGAAAATGGAGCTGAATTTAACTTAAAATTTCCTTTATGAAGCTGAATTACAAAATTATTTGGGTTGAAGATAAAATTGATACCCGACCATTCATAGCATTAATTGATAATGTTAAGAGTCATCTTGAAAATGAGTTTTTCAATGTATGTATTGATACTGCAGAAGACTTTGAAGAGTTTAAATTGAAATATATAGAAAGTCAAACATATGATTTAATTATTACCGATTTAAATCTAAATGAAAGCCACGGAAATGAGGTTATTAATTTTGTTCGTGATGAAAAACATATCATGACAGAAATTTTTTTCTACTCTGCAAATAGTGAATTATCAACAGCTAAATTAGCGAATAGCAGTCGAATTACTTTCTACCAACTGGATGGACAAGATTACCACAAGGAACTTCAACGCTCAATAATTGAAGTCATTGACCTAACAATCGCAAAGTTTCAAAATATTATAACAATGAGAGGTATGATTATGCATGAAACTAGTTCGTTGGATTTGAAAATGGAAGGAATTGTTCGCAAACAATTAAATAACCCAAGTCTTGAAATGCATATCAAACCTTTATTGAACACAATTTTTGACAATATATTTACCAATGCTAAAGAAAAGTTTGAGAAAGCAGAAAAGAGAAAAGTAAAAGACATTTTACGAGATAATGTTCTTTTTAATTCTTCTCAAAAAATATTTGCTTTAGGAGCAATTTTAGAAATAATGGATGAAGAGAATTTTTCACAAGATTACAATGACGAAGTAATTCTTATTCGAAACCAATTTGCGCACTCTGAACTTAAAAAAAATGAAGAAGGTAAGGAGTTCTTTAAGGTCAAAGGGGAAGAGATTTATTTCGATAAAGAGCTATGTAAAAAGATTAGACGTGATTTGATTGAATATACAAATAAAATCAATTCCATTGAAAGTAAAATTAACCATCTAGAATAGTTACTTACGTAGCCATGCCCCATTAGCCACCGATAAACCCAAACTTGACAAAGAAGGTGTTTGTACCAGCACTCAACATAAATGACCAACATAAGAAAAGAAAATCGAAAGTAGAGTGTGGCGAGAGATGTTTTTACCGACTAAGGTCCCTAGTATCGTCACATATGCTATGCTCCTTCTTTAAATATAGCTAATTTTTATAATACATAAAACTTTGTTCGTCATGAAAAAAGAAGAGTGAACCAAAAACTAAGAAGAAGAAGCAAATGCCATTCCTAATATTAATACTCCTCCCTCTAACACTATTACTACTATTCGCGTGGGGGAGAACAGGAAACGATAACTACAGAAAAGCACTTGATTACATTTGGCTAGGTATATTTGGACTCTTCGTGCTTGGGACAATTACTCGCTTATTGTCCGATAAAAAGAAACTTGATAAGGATGACTATTACGGGGAATATGTAGTTAATCGAGACTACTTTCCGGGCAAACAAGCGGATTGGCAATACAACAATTTCATGTTTGAAATTAAGGACAACGACTCGATTTATTTTTACCTAACAGATAGAGAGAAAATATTAAAAACGTATCGGGGAACGATTACAACGACTAAAACTTATAGTTCCGAGCGACTTATAATTGATATGGATTACCCAACGCATCACATTTTGTCAAGTAATCCAACAACTTATCGAAGTGCCTGAAGTTTTTACTTGGTGTTTCACTCCCCGAAATTCAACAACGTATATTTTAAAAAAGGACGATGGAAATCACTCGATAAATAAACAGCAGCCCCCCCCCAAGCCAATGCCCGCATGAGGGATAGAAGTGGAAATAGACTTTTTGTGCTTTTTTCTAAAATTTATCGATAAAACCAAGTGAGGTTGCTCGGCAAAGTTTCCTACAAAACCCAAGCCCGAAGACAAAAAAGCACAAAAAGGCTATTGCAACGGATAGCCCGACCGCCGACAAACTGCCCTATCGTTAGACTAATCTATTCGATAAACCCAAGGGGCAGTTTGTTGGGGGGCATGCCATGATTGGCTTTAATAAATCCCTCACAACATCGCCTCATCGGCAAAGCTATAATACCCGCGCTCCGATACGATAAGGTGGTCGAGCAAGGTAATATCGAGGCTTGCGCCGGCGGCTTTTATTTTTTGGGTGAGGTCGATGTCGCTTTTGCTGGGCTGCAAGTTGCCCGAAGGGTGATTGTGCATGACCACAATGGCAGCCGCAAGGCTCTCCAAGGCGGGGCGAAATATCATTTTCATATCTACTACGGTGGCGGAGGTGCCGCCGGAGCTTATTTTGTGTCGAGCGGTGACTTCGTTGTTGCGATTGAGGAGGAGCATCCAAAACTCTTCGTGCTGGAGGTCGATGAGCAATGGCGCTATGACGTTGTAGGCATCGCGGCTGGTGGTGATGCGCACGCGCTCGCGCACGTCGCTGAGTTGGCGGCGGCGACCAAGCTCTAAGGCGGCGATGATGATGATGGCGCGTGCTTCGCCTATACCTGCAAATTTTTGGAGGTCGGAGAGCGTCTTTTTGCCCAATTCGTTGAGGTTGTTGTCAACGGAGTGGAGGATAGCCTTGGTGACATCGAGTGCGCTTTTACCGACTACGCCTGAGCCGATGAGGATGGCTATCAGTTCGGCATCGGAGAGTGCTTGCTTGCCTTTGAGAATGAGTTTTTCTCTTGGGCGGTCTTCTATCGCCCAAGTTTTGATGGTCATCGGGTTGGGTTTTTCTGTGTTTTCCATAGTGTATGGTGTACTCGATTAGTAATGTGTCATAATGTTTAGGCAAATGTAGGGAAAATTATTACGAATGCACGAATTTTTTTGACACGAATTTGCACGAATCTGGAGTGCTGAACCACATAGATACATAGATTTTTTCACATAGTTAACAATAGCCTATGTGTGCTATGTGAAGCTTTCTATGTTTCTATGTGGTAAAGAAGAACTCCTTTAACTCCTTAACTCCTTGTGAATTATAGTGCCCTTCGTGAAAAAACTTAGTTTACTTAGTGGTTAAGGTCTCTACCAGAAATTATTTTCAAAAAAATTTCACTTTGATGGAACTAAATAGGAACTTAATATTGTTAGTATCATGATCCGTCAGAATATTACCACTAGACCGTAGGTTTTTTATCATTTATTATATACTTTTGTCATGATTTTCGTAGATGAAATAATCAAAACTACTCAAATGAAGGATTTAGAAAAAATCTTTAATGAGGAAATACTCATCCACTTGGATGCTGTATTGACTTATGCCTACCGTCTGACTCGTAGTCGTGTAAATGCTGAAGACCTCACGCAAGATGTGATGGTACGCGCACGTGCGAAGGTAGATCAATTCGAGCCTGGCACCAATGGTAAGGCATGGGTTATGAAAATCACGTTCAATACGTTCGTAAACGATTATAATCGTAAGGCGAAGAAGGACAAAATAACCGATGTATTGGATGAGGTGGGCTTGAGTAAAATACCTACAGCGGGTTTGAATGACTTGTCGTTGAGCAAATTGGATTTGAGCGATTTGATTTATCACGTAGGTGATAAACTGTATTTTGCTTTGTCAAAGCTTAGCAGGGAGAAGTTTTTCATCCTTTTGTTGACAGCTGACGGCTTCAAGAATGAAGAAGTCGCCGATATCGTGGGCGTTGCTGAAGGTACAGTGAAGTCTAGCCTCAACCGTATGCGCAAGATGATACAAGGCAAGCTACAGGAAGGCGAGGAGAATTGTACGGAAGCAGATTGCTCCGACGATAGTGACATTATTAGCACGCCTACCAAAAGACTAGGCAGCCGCCGTTCAGATATTTCTGCTAAACCTACCGGTGATAAGATTTGATTTTTAAAACAATGACTTTCCTTAGCAGTTTTGGCTGCTTTGGAAAGTTTTTTCTATATATTGTACACCTACTTGAGTGTACTTTTTTTCAACTCAATTTTAATTTTTTAAATTTTATTACAATGAAAAAGCGAATCGAAGTGCAAAATGACAATCATTTCACTCATGGGAATCACACCGAAGGACCATCTTTGCCCGGAAAAACTTTGAGAACAAAAACCAGTGCTCCACTCGACCAACAACCAGATGATTCAGACTTTTTTAGTGGCATTATCAATGCTCGATTTCCTCGACTGAAAGCCACTCCTTCCTTTATTAAGAAATTAAAAGAGAAACTTTAGGGATGTACAGTCAGAAAATAATTATCTTTGCATAATTTTTCAAACGAACTTACATCAAATGTTAGAGAAGCTACTTTCCATCCGGGAAAAATATATCTATTTAGAGGAACAACTCTCCGATCCTAATACCATAAACGATATGGAAAAATGGAAAAAGGTGAATAAAGAGTACAAATCTCTTGGGCCACTTATGGAGTTGACCAATAAATATCAGCAATTGCTGGCCGATGAGAACGGGGCTCGCGATATTTTGCAAAATGAAACAGATGCAGATTTGCGCGAATTGGCGCGCGAAGAACTTGACCGTGTGCTACCTCAAAGAACACCATTGGAGGAAGAAATAAAACTTTTTCTGGTACCAAAAGATCCTGAGGACGAAAAAAATGTTATTTTTGAGATCAGATCGGGCACAGGAGGCGACGAAGCTTCGCTTTTTGCCGGCGATTTGTACCGTATGTATTCGAAGTATTTTTCCACCATGGGTTGGCAGATCGAGGTGATTGAGGAAACTCCCGGCACTGTAGGTGGTTACTCCAAATTGATCCTGGAGGTGTTGGGAGATGATGTGTATGGCAGGCTCAAATTTGAGTCGGGGGCACACCGTGTGCAACGCATACCCGATACAGAAGCCAAAGGCCGTGTACATACATCGGCTGCTACTGTGGTGGTATTGCCAAAGCTTGAGGTGGAGGATATTGATATCAAGAAAGACGACCTGCGTGTAGATACTTTCCGCGCAAGTGGTGCCGGTGGTCAGCACGTAAACAAGACCGAATCGGGTGTTCGTTTTACACACATCCCTACGGGTGTAGTGGCGGAGTCAACAGAAAGCCGTTCGCAACATAAAAACCGTGAAATCGCTTTCAACCGAATGGCTATGCGCATCAGGGAAATACAAGAGGAAATGCACAACAGCACCATGACTTCGGCAAGAAAATCGCTCGTAGGCTCGGGCGATCGCAGTGAAAAGATACGTACCTACAATTATCCACAAAATCGTGTAACCGATCACCGATTGGAAGGCGACAATAAAAACTACAATCTTGATAAAGTAATTGAAGGCGAATTGGGCGGCATCATAGAGGCGCTGCAAATCATGGAAAATACTGAAAAGATGAAAGGCGAAACCATAGAAGGATAAAAAAATTCCTTAAAAGGCACTTAGTACTCCGTGCAATAAGTTTTTTAACATTTTGTCTGTATCTTTTTCCGCCATACTTCGGCATTTTTTTTCGTCCGTAGCTCCACTACGAACTCAAAAAATGGCTCGTCTGACGAAAAAATCTACTACCCAAAATATCATAAAACTTATTGCACGGAGCACTTAAAAACCATTGTTTTTAAGTGCCTTTTTTTTACTCGTATTCTATTTCCACCAAATCTGTAGTAGGGTGGGCTTGACAGGTGAGGATGTATCCGGCTTTTATTTCATCGTCGTCGAGGGCAAAACATACTTCCATTTCTACCTTACCGCTGTGCAGTTTGGCCATACAAGTAGAGCACGCACCCGAAGTGCATGAATAAGGCGCATCGTGCTTATTAGCTATCAACGCATCGAGGATGGTTTGGTTGGCTGCTACGTCCACTTCCACCACCTTACCTTTGAGTTTTACCATTACCTTTTTGGTGTCGCTACCGCTTGCTACGCCACCTGCGCCAGGAGTGCCTTGGGCATTTTTAAACATTTCGGTATGTATCTGCTTGGTAGCTACTTTTTGCCCTACAAGGGTGAGCTTCACGTTTTCAGCCATATTGCCTGGTCCGCATACATAGTAAAGGGAGTCTGCTTCAGCGCCGCGTGCGGGGTGTTCTGCTAAGAATTCGCGGGCCATACGATCCGATATCCTGCCTTGTTTGCCATTCCAATTGGAGATAGTTTTCTTAAACAAGCCAAACAAGCCGGAGCCAACTTTCTCTGTTTTTGGCTGACTAAGCACATATTCCACATGCAATTGTCCTTCGTACTTGGCTGACAGGCGGTTGAGCGCCTCTCTAAATATGATATCTTCCTCTTTTTTGTTGCCGTACAATAAAAATACTGTACTCATTGGCTCCTGCTCCAATACCGTACGCGCAATGGCATACAAAGGTGTGATACCGCTACCGGCACCAAAAAGGTACCAAGTGCGCTTTTTGTCGGCATTGGTGATGGCAGTAAATCGTCCTTCGGGAGTGGAAACCTCCAATTGGTCTCCTACTGATACTTTTTCATGCAAGTAAGTAGAGACTTTACCACCCGGCACATGCTTTACCGTGAAAGCAAAATGCGGATCTAAAGGGCTGCTGCTCATGGAGTAGGCGCGGCGCACCTCATCGCCACCAAGCAATACCTTCAGTGTGATATACTGACCGGCTTGATAATTATAATCATCCTTGAGATGAGCTGGAATATCTAGGACAAAAGTTTTGGTGTCAGGTGTTTCGGCGACAATTTCCTTAATACGGAGCGAGTGAAAATTCATAGAAGAAGAAAAAATTAGTTACCCTTCAAAGTGCAAAGATAAGGTAAAAGTACGGCTTTGTACCTTTTCCAGCACACTACTTTGTATCAAATTATTATTGTAGATGAGCGAATTGTTGAGCCCCTGAGAAATCTTTATTTCCGGAGAAAAAATAAAATAAGGAAAATAAAACTGTATGCCTGCTCCATACTCAATCTGAAAATCGGTGGGAGCAATTTTTACCAAACCTGCGGCTTGGCGCGTGCGCGAATCACTCGCCACATCGAACGTATATTTCACACCGGCAAGCACAAATAGCCTAAAATCGTGGTACGCCGCCGATTTATACCTTGCCTGAAACGGCAATTCTACAAAAACAGACTCCACACGACGTGTATCGCTACCTCCATCTTCGCCGGGCAGACCATATTTTATGCTTCGCTCTGCAAATGACAACGTAGGCAAAAGGCGCACATCGAAGTATTCCCCAATTTTCAAATTGGACACAATACCCAGATTAAACCCTGGCCCCGAAACACTCTCTGCCCTAGTAAAGGAGTCGTTAAGAATAAAATCTTTGGTGTAATGTATCCTAAAATTGGAATTGTTGATACCTAGCGTAATGCCAAAATAATACGGTTTTTGTTGAAAATCAAGGTAATTCACGTTGCCACGCGAATGTTGCGCCGATAAAGATATCGGCAAAAACCCAACCACACATAGGATCAAAAGAAGCGCGGAAATACGTGCCGCTGAAAAATTAAAATGCAAAAAAATCATTATTTATCGCCTGTATAAATGGTACAAATCCCGAAACTCAGCCTGCTAAACTTCGGATTTTTATAACCGATTTGGTGAAGTAATTGTACAAAATCGTCGCCCTGCAAAAACGCCTGCGAAGACTCGTACAGATACGTATATGCGCGGGGATCGTTACTCGTTAAACGTCCGATAAGTGGTAAAAGGTATTTGAAGTAGGCATTATAACACTGTTTTATTGGAAAAACTTCTGGGCGCGAGAACTCCAATATTACTGCCCTACCGCCGGGGCGCAATACGCGCAACATTTCTGCAAGGCCGCTCTCCAGATTTTCAAAATTGCGCACCCCAAAAGCCACCGTAATCGCATCGAAACTATCCGCCCCAAAACGCAGGCGCTCACTATCGCCTGTCTCCAATTGTACCACGTCATCCAGCTTCCGGTTGTGCACCTTCACACGCCCGTACTCCAACATCCCATTAGAAATATCCACACCTATAATTTGCTGAGGATCAAGCATTTTTGCAGCCATGATAGCCACATCGCCCGTGCCCGTAGCCACATCGAGTATGCGCTTAGGAGCCAATGCTTGCAGGCGTGTAAGTGCCCGCCTACGCCACCACACATCCACCCCCAAGGAAAGAAAACGGTTCAAAAAATCATACTTAGGCGCAATGTTATCAAACATCCGCTCCACCTGATTTCTCTTATTTTCCTCAGCATTATAAGGTTTTACTGTCTCTTTCTGCATAATATCGCAAATTACTATATATTTATTTATGGCGTGCCCACAAAACCGGCTCTCGGTCCTAATTCTGGGCGCTTGGGTTGAGTGGTTAGCCGGTTTGTGGTCGGGCTATCCGCTGCAATAGCCGGCAACAGCCCCTTTCCGTCTTCGGGTTGTGCCGTATTGCATATCTTGGTGTGCTGCACTTCGCTTTGGTTGCCCGAGCAGGGCTGTTTCCGGCTATTTCTGCTTCTATCCCTCACGCTTTTCGATTGACGATTATTCGATGTACGATTTTTTCGATTGACGAATTACGATTGTGCCGATTAACCACTAGGATACTAAGTTTTTGCACTAAGGGCGCTAATGAAATTTCTCGCAAAGCCGCAATCCCTGTGAATCTGCGTGCGGCTAAATCTGTGTATATCTGCGGAAAACAACACGCAATGACCAATTTACGACACCAAAATTACCTCCATACCAAGTACTTTCCTAAACACAAATATCAATGATATGTTCTAATTCCTTAAAAACGCATGATTTTTGCAGGCAATGTATTCACAACCAAGCTGATTACCTCGCATGGATTTCTCAAAATCGAACTTCGGGGAGGTGTTCTCCCCTTAATCATAAATCGAAAATCAAAAAAAAATCAAAAAATCGTAAATCGTAAATCAAAAAATCGTAAATCGTAAATCCAAAATCGTAAATCCAAAATCGTAAATCCAAAAATCGTAAATCCAAAAATCGTAAATCCAAAATCGTAAATCCAAAATCGTAAATCGTAAATCCAAAAATCGTAAATCCAAAAATCTTTTTGTAGTTTTGCCTTATGATATCGTACGATCCAAAAAAGTGGCTATTCTCGCCATTTCATTTTCACAAGTCCGACACCCTACGGCAGCTATTTCCGTGGATAATAGTGGTATGTGCCTATGCAGCATTTATTGCATGGCTGGAGCTAGAATATTGGCAACTGAGTGCAGATAGCAAGGTGCGCAACATCTCACTGATGCATACACTTTTGGGCTTTGTAATCTCGTTTTTGTTGGTATTTCGCACCAATACTGCTTACGAACGCTGGTGGGAAGGGCGTAGGCTATGGGGCAACTTGGTCAATAGCAGCCGCAATCTAGCCTTAAAATTGGCAGCTGCACTACCCGAAGGGCATGCGGATAGAGCTTTTTTTAGAGAGATTATACCCGCGTATGCACACGCGCTCAAGTTGCATTTGCGCAATGAGAATACCCGTATTGAGTTGTTTGACAACCTAGATGAGCATACCAACTTTGTGCTTGATCACGAAAAACACCGCCCCAACCAAGTAGCCGCTTTGATGCACCAACGCATATTTCAGTTGATGCACAATGGCACTATCAATGTGCAACAAATGCAGTATCTCATCAGGGATTTGGAGGCTTTCACCGATGTCTGTGGAGCCTGCGAGCGCATCAAAAACACGCCTATTCCTTATTCTTATAGTGTTTTTATCAAGAAATTTGTGGTGGTTTATATTGCTTCGCTGCCTTTTGGCTATGTATTCAACTTGGGGTATTATGTGGTGCCAATAGTCGGGTTTGTGTTTTATGTCTTGGCAAGTTTGGAGCTTATCGCTGAAGAAATAGAAGAGCCTTTCGGTGGCGATGAAAACGATTTGCCACTTGGTCGCCTTGCGCAAAATATCAAGAGTCATATTGGGGAGTTGATATGAGGTGTTAACTGGGTATCCCCTAAGTGGATGGCCTTTGCGGTTGGGCTTTTTTTATTTTTCCTAGTCACTGCCATCGTTGGCGTGTACGCTGTCGCGACCTTCAGGAGCGATTGGGCTTGGCGGCGGTTGGCGTTGAGTGCATTGTTCTCACTTTTTCATTAATCGTCCTGTCGCTATTCCTTCAGCAGACCAAATTTTTAAAAAATAGACCCCAGTTTTAAATGTTGAAATATTAATCCCAAGCGTTTGCTTGCCTGAGGGCAAGTCAGCGAAATGTTTTTCAGCATGCAACCTGCCTTGCGAATCCCATACCTGCAAGTCTGCAACACCGCCCGGCGAATTGAATCGTACAAAAAACTCACCTGTTGAAGGGTTCGGAAAAATAACCAAACCCGTTTCTAGCAATATAACTGGCTGCACGGAAACAATGGAATCGGGCAACTCGAAAGCCCCAATATCTGGTGCAATGCCTTCAAATTGATTGTTGAAGCCCGGTACTGGCAGTCCTTGGTTAATCAATGGACTGGTGGGAAGTAGGTGAAAGTCTTCATTTTCAGGGTCAACAAAATGTGGCAATTCATTCAGCGTATTTTCAAAAAAAGAATAAGGGCTTCCCGTTGTGCCAGACAGACCACTTTCCAAATCTCCCATATTTTCGTACTCAAAGCACTCGTTAAGCCCCCCGTGAATTGGGCGGACGATGCCTTTTACATTGGTGCCTGCGTTTACTACATTGTTGCCGATTGATTCGAAACTATACGTTGGTTGGTTCATGACGCCGTCGAACATGAAATTGGATTCCCCTTCACCATAAAATATGTTATTGCGCAGTTGAAACGATTTCCAAGTTGGCTCCCAAAGATAAAGGTTGAAGGCGAGTGGTTCATTGGAGTGCACCGTATTATGGATGAAGTAAATTAGGTCGGTCGGTTCAAAGGAATCACTGCCTGCATTCAATTTAAGGGCGGTGGACCATGATTGATGAGTATCTGTATTGTCGCAATCTCGAAAGTTCGGGTCATCCCGGTAATTCTGCCTTTGGTCAAGGTGGTGATACACATTGCGGAAAATATATATTGGCTTTTGTTCCCTACCGATGAGCGATGTCCCAACCGGACAATGGCTGACTTCATTGCGCCAAATGCGTGCATTGCGATGCTCGCCTACAGCGTTAATACCATCGTAGCACCATGAAACCCTGTTTTCATAAACATCGCTCTCCGTCATGACCGAACCATTTGGAAAGCCTAAATTAATTCCACCAACCACCCCCTCCACAGTGTTTTTCCAGACCACATTACCTTGGGTCACTTGCCCCTCATTAGGTGTGATTTGGATACCTCCGTTTTCCAGATACCTGCCATAACTTCCACAACTAGCGTCAAGCAACCACGGAAAAATATCTCTAGAAGTTTTGAATGCAGCATGAGACCAGTAGCCCGTACCGTCTTTGATTTGGCAGTTCATCACGATATTATCGTTGCAATTACCTTCAAAAGTCACCGGAAAATTGCAGAAATCAAATATGCAACTGTCCACCACTACATGGCTGGCATCTATGATGCGCAAGGTGTTGGAAGGATAACACTCGATTGGATTGCCGAAAATATCCTTGGTACACAAACCCCTGCCATAGTATTTGAAATGAATGCCCTTGATGCGCAGGTGGACGTTTTTGTTGTTACCATTGATGGTCAGGCAATTGAATCGTTTTGAAAAAATAACCTCCGCATCGTTGATGTTTTTATGGTCTATAGTTTTTATAAATACCTGATTTTGCTTGTTCCTATAAAAGCCCGGGAGGTCAAAACCGAGGGTCCAAAGGCTGGGATAAGTGGGGTCAATAGGTGGTGTCAGGAAAGCATAAGGGTACATTCTTTCGCCATCCACAAGGCAAAGGGCGTTATATTCGAGGTCGGCGGGCAGGTTTGTCCACCAAATATTGGTGTCTCCGGAAACCTGTGTCCAAGTGTATTCCTCATAGGAGCCGCCGTCGAAAACAGGCGATTCGCCCTGTGCAGCCATGATAGTGATTGGCTCGGTTTCAGCGCAATCCGTGTTAAGTTGGAGGTTCAGGTTATCAAGTGCATAATTCCCCCCTTTCATTAAAACTGTTGTACCGCAGGGCAATCCACTAGCGAACAGCGTTTGCAAATTGCCGGGGCTGGTTTCGGAATAAACCGAGCCAATGCCGTTGGGGCTTACCCATTTGAGGTTGCCCGATGACTGCACATTCGGCACGGCGAGCGTCGTGGCTGCCGCTGTTAAGATGACTTTTTCAAATACAGGAAAGGAATCCACCAAACTGACTTCCAGTTCGTAATCCGTAGCAGCAACGAGTTGGAAAAGACTGCCCCAAAACTCTCCAATTGCAAGACGGGCGGCAGGAAAACCGGGCTGCCAGTCTTGTCCCAAAGTCCTATAGCGCACTTCCGTGAAAGCGGTGGAATCGGCATCGTAGCCGAGGGGCATTTGTACCCTATATCCGATACTGTGTAGCATGGGCTTTACGATGATTTGCTGGGCTGTTGCCAAGTCGGAAGAAAGCACCAAGGCAACGGCAACGAGGTAAATTACCTTGGTGAAAAACAACAGGAAGTAATAATTTGATGTTAATTTGTTAAGTTCTTTATAGCTCGGTTGTTCAACAATTATATTTTTCAACTTTGTGTCGACCGTCCATGTTAGGATGCTATTCATTATTATTTATTCTTTTTTTTAGTTGGTGAGAACGGTTGGCTTGCTGCCGTGCCGCCGTGAGTTGGCTTTGCGGGTTGTGTTTTGGGCGCCATGTGCGACCATGCATTGTTAGTTGCAAAATACTGGGCGATGTGAAATTTTTATCCCAAAAATGATTTGCCATTTAAAATTGCTGGTAGAAAATAAATCAAAATTTGACAATTTCACTTTTTGTCCATACCGTATTAAACTCATTCATATAAATATTATAAAGGCTCTCGGATTTTAAGTTCTTATTTAAGCAAAAAAAAGAAGGAGATTCCTCTCCCTTAATTGAATGAAGGTAAGGAGTTACATAAATACTATTTTTTCCACCATAAATATTTACATATATTATCGAATTTTTTCTCAAATGGAATCTAGATTTAGCACCTTCATCCAAACTAGCAAAAAAAGTTCTTAGTCCCGTTAAGTCACTATCAGATTGAATAACCATATTTATAGCAATTTTTTTCTGGACAATCAAGTCATAAAACAAATCTTTTACATCTTTGTATTTAATACTTTCAAAACCTCTTGTCATGACATACACAGAATCTGACCCTTTCATCGAATTGTGTATATTTTCGTAGCCATGCTTGAAACGCTTTAACTCAAAATGTTCTATTCCAGATTCTTTCATTTTTGAAAAAGCACTTACAGACTCTCTAATTTCACGCAATATTGTACCAATTGGTTCTCCTCCTAACTGTTTATACAAAAAGTCAATTAAGGCAATGCAAATCAAAGTCGCTGAAACATTAACTAAAAAATCTTCTATATTATATTGGTAGTCTTTAAAATTCGGTGCTACAATTATGATTAGGACTCCAAGGATGAAAAACCAAAAGGAATAGTTTATTGAATTATGCTTCATAATTTATTTTTATTGTAACGTTTGGCTTGCTGCCGTGCCGCCGTGTGTTGGCTTTGCGGGCTGGCTGTTCGGCGGCATGGACAGCAAGCCTTTGTTGTGTGAATTACTGGTTTAGCAAAAAATGCCCGCTAGCGCTAGACTGCACTCCAGCTCGTGGCGCAGCCACAAAATTGGCTAGCGCGTGGCTGCAAAGCCTCGTGCAACTTATTGCGTCGGCTGTGCCGACATACGCGGAGCACAAATCCCAAGCTTATCCGATTGACCATAGTGAAGCTGCCACCTTTGCACAAAGTTTACCCATTGCAAACACAAATATAGCTACTTCACCTTGTTTTTCAATGAAAATGAGATTTTTTAGTGATTTATTTCCTTCTTCTAAGGATATTACAGCCGCTTAGGTTGTTTTTATCGCTTCTTTTAAGCCAGTTTCGTTGTCATTTGTCGACACAGCCGACGCAATAGAGGCACAAGGCTGAAAAGCCACGCGCCAGCGAAGGCGCAGTCTCGCCCCAGCGGGTCAATAGCCCGCAAAAAGCCATTCACCAAACGCGAGAACAACCCATTTCTTACCACCTCCACCAAGAGCAACCTGCACCTAAAATATTATATATCAACCTAGAAAAAAGCCCAACTCCCAAAGGCGAATGCCCACAACTACGCCTATTTGCCAAGCATATCCGCAAAGCCAAGCAACTTTCATAATCCAAGCCGTATCCGTGATTATTTTTTATTTATTTATTTTCTCTAAGGAACGTGAAATAAATAAAAGCGCATTCTATAATATGTACCTTTGCGTTCAAACGAGTTAAAATGTTAGAGAAATATTCAGAAGTCATTGAGAAACAAATGCAATTATTTTTTTCAAATTTGA